AAACACACCAGCAAATGCATAACAACATAACCGCTCAGAACACTATAGCAACTGCATAGCAACATAACCACTCAGAACACCATAGCAACTACATAGCAACATAACTACTCAGAACACCATAGCAACTACATAGCAACATAACCACTCAGAACACCATAGCAACAAATTAACAACCACTCAGAACACCCTAGCAACTACATAGCAACATAACCACTCAGAACACCATAGCAACTACACAGCAACATGATAACCACTCAGAACACCATAGCAACAAATTAACAACCGCTCAAAACACTCTAGCAACTGCATAGCAACACCATAACTACTCAGAAAACCCTAGCAACCACATAGCAACACGTTAACCATTAAGAACATCCTAGCAACCACACAACACAAAAACTACTAGAAACACCTTTGCAACATTCTAGAACCCCTCAGAACACCCTTGAATTTGCATAGCAATACATTTGCCACTCAGAACACCCTAGCAACTGCATAGCAACGCGGTTACCACGCATAGAAAATGTGTACACTTTTCATAATAATGGCATAAAAACTGCATTATTGTGTCATTATGACCGTGCATAAAACTCATTGAGCTGCATGAAGCTAGAATTACAGAGTCTGATACTAATGACTGAAATCATTCTCCTTTATGTTTCCCCTTCCTCTCAGGATGTGATCTGTGGCGTTGTAATTTCAGCCGTCGTCATGGCTGTGTCGTACCCGTACTGGGGAACCATTGACTACCTTCAGCTGCACAACCCTCTCTCCCCCATAGTGGGGGTGGTTCTGCCCCTCTTCCTGTCCTATAAGTACCCCGAGCTGGACCATTACAGCACCACACGGGGGGACACCACCATTATTTTAGCATGCTGTTCAGGGTGTTCAGTCGGATACTGGGTGAATGAGCGATTGGGCTTGACCTTTGACCTTGCCGGGCCTTTTCCAGTGACCCTTCCACCGCTGACCCTCGCAGCCTTGGGTCTCGGTGTGGCGCGGTTCCTGGTCGGGTTAGGGATGCTGGTTCTGACCCGGCAGACAGTGCGCTGGGCGAGTCTGCGGGTGCTCTGTCGAATTTATGGAGCGTCTGTGAATGACGTTGAAGCACGCAGAAGGAAAGCGATTGAGGTGCCGTATAAGTTCAGCACATATGTTGCCATCGGGCTGGTCAACAGTATCATGGTGAACAGAGTGTTTGTGATGATGGGATTCTGGGATTTGGGAAATTCTGTATAATTTCTCAGTGTTTACAGGCAAGTTTCAAGAGAATCCCAGTCTATAATTTATTCTCAGGGAGAAATTCACCTTAGTCTTTGTTTGGGAAAGGCTGGCGCATTTAAATTCTCACACTGAACAGTAGTTTGTTAAACCTCCTAGCTGCATTTTGTTAGATTTCAAAAACTGAAACGCAGTTCGTGGATGTTTGTGCAGTTTCGCTTGGTTTTAAGGGATTATTCATGGTTAAACGCAAGCTAAAGGTGAAGTGTGTAATTTCTGTGCCACAAGACTCAACAAATGAAATCAGAAACGCATACAAATGACTAATGAATAATTTCCTTAACACACATCTGCTATATAGTGAAATTAGTTAGCATTTTTGTGCAAAAATTAGTGTATTTTTATACTTTTATGCGCTTTTTTACACTTCCAGTTGCGTCATACTGAATTTAATGGTTTTTTTTGTGAACAGGTAATGTCAGTAATGTATTTACTGTTTACACAAGCTCAAGATATTTTCACGTTTTATTCTACAACATAAAATGCATCAGTAATACCCCACTGATTTTATTTTTAAAGCTTTTGCTTGTCTTGAAAAAGATGGTTGCTAAATGGGGCTAGAGATGTATTCTGGGATATTAAATGACATCACACTGAACGGGGAAACTCATCTACTCATGAGTCGCTTTCACAGCCTCACTATGTTCAGTATCACACTCTTGCAAACTATTCTAACTCAAACTTTCCAACTAAGGATTGAAAGAGTTGTCAGAAGCTTAATGGTACTGAAGTCGAATGACTGTGGACAAGTTCGTTGCTAGCCCACGATTATCATGTTGAACAAAAAGTGTAAGAATCATAAACTTTTTATTGGTCCCAAAGCTTATTTTCTGCAATAATCCAAAAGTCAATGGAAAAATCCTTACAGTATGTGGAAAATAATGTTTTTTGAACCTTAAACCGCATAAACATTTCATTACACCAAATAATGTTATTTTTAGCATCATATGACCCCTTTAAACTACTTCAAAGTTTGCCTTGATTTTTTTTTTTTAATGTATAGATACAATATTGTTTACATTAGCTTAAGATAAAGTACAGTGTCGCATTAGTTGACTTTGCTTGATATGCATCAAATACATGCAAAAACCACCAGTTGTAGACGTTTTTGGTTTATTAATCCATATTTCTTTGTTTTCATGTTGTAAATTTAGCTGGACACAAACATACAGCCATGATGTTTAATATATGAATAACATACTAGCAGTGGACAAGCTGAGTTTTATTAAAACACTGATTTATACCATGAACATACAGTAACGTGCTTTTGTGACTAGAACTCATTCTCCTAAAGATAGACGTGACAGTAATGTGTGGCTGTGGCTTCTGAGGGAGGAGCCCAAAGCAGAGGGGTGTGGCTGAGGTTAGGTTATCACAGGAAGGGTTCGATGTCGATATCGATGGCAGAGCAGGGCATGGTCAGCTCAAAACGACTGATGACATCAGGGTGAAGGACCCCGAGGTGTCCGATGCTTTTGCCACATGAAAAGATCTCAGCACAGCGGCCGGGAAAGAAGGTGGAGTCTGTAAGAATAATGATGGAAATTAAATTAATTAAATATGAATAATATGTTATTTCAAGTTATTTCAGTATGTATTATATGCTATTAAAGTATTTATTAAGATTTTGAATCAGGTTTTAATTGTATATTTTCAGTTTTAGTAATTTTATTTTGTCAATTTTTTTATTCTGCTTTATTTTAATATTTAGCTTTCATTTACTTTTGAGTAATTTTAGTACTTAAAATTAATTTCCACTTTTTCAGAATCTCAAGTTTATTCATATATATATATATATATATATATATATATTTAATTATTATGTATACATATATTACTTATCTAATATTTTATATTATTCTTTCACTTTATTTTTTAATCAAAGTTATTTTTAATAGTTTTAGTTAGAAATAACAACACTGAAAATGCACTGATGAATCATTCACAATAAGACCAGGAACATGAATCAAGTAATTAAATATAGGGTCCAATTTTATTTTATCAGACTTCAAATAGATTCTTCCATCCATCACGTGGAAATAAAATTGGAAAACAGAAATAAAAACGTAATAAAATTAATCCAGAAATGAAAAAGTCCCACCAAATGAACTAACACTTTTTAATTTTGCGGACCTACTGCAAGCACATAAACGCCGTTAAATATTAACCACTAAAATAAATCTTTGAATATGACTCGGGTGCACAGACCGATCACAGGAAGGACACCATGTCGACTTTTAACATTTATGACTCACCCTCTGCCGCCTGGATGTGGTATCCTTGGTTACGGCCCGGTTTGACATCCAGCAGCTGCATGACCCGGTCCAGAAGTCCATGGATGACTTCAAATCCCGGGCTCTTGTTGTAGTAAACGGCACAGAGACGCCTGTTGTTACGGGCTCCTACGTCTGCCAGACACAAAGTTCAGTGATTGCATACTTATTAGCATGCATTACGTGATATGAGGACATCAAATACACCTTTAGTTTCATCCTTCAGGACGACGTCTGAAATCTCGAACAGTTTGAGAGGAAGGGGCATCTTCCTGTTGGCAGCGAGCGTCTTCAGGAGTCCAGGAAGAAGAGAGGTACGCACCACCTACAGGAAAGTACGGTTTAGTTAGTCAAACCCTAACTACTAACTGATTTAAACTTGTGAAAGCACCCACTAGTGGGCAAATGTGAGAAATGCCAATCGGAGGTGTCAGGATTTCTGTGGGTACCTGAAACTCTGCGGTCTTTGGGTTGGAGATGTGGACTGCTCTGGTTTCGACGATATTTTTCCTGAGTTTATCTGCGATATCTTCTTGTGAGCACTGCAGAGAGAGGAAAAGACTGTCACGTCATGGAAAAGATAACACATTTGTTATATTGCTCTTGTGGCTGTTTACAAAAACAAATATACAGCACAACCAATGTTATCATTTGTTTTCAAATCAGACTTTAATGAGCGAAAATTTCTATTTTTAAGTGCATGTTACTGATTTTCAGTTGTTTTTTTTTACTGATACATCATTGACTTTTTTTAAACATTGTCATCACTAGGTTTCTGGATTACATTTTAAAAATAAATAAATAAATTATTATTCAATAATCCATTATACTTGGATGTTCGTCACACTACAGAAGAAAATGAATGAATGAAAATGCTTTAAATGAACTCACAAACGTATGATTTATTAGTTTGAATCAGTTTGAAAAATGACTTGTTGAACCTGTCCTGGTAAATCTGGTTATGACAGTCACCTTTTAAATGTTTATATTTCAACAGCGAATTGGAAATTCAATTCTATCATTTCAAAGTCAGCACAAAAACTGATGTATGTGCAATTTAAAGGTTTGTACACAACAGTATTTAATTGAGGGTTGATTATTATATTCTAAAAAATAAATAGCAATGGACTTTGTTAATTTACACTTTAATATAATATTATAATAAATGTACCATCTGAGAGGAATCCCTGTGTAGTTTACTGCATTAGTTGAGATATTGTTTTCCTTAAGAAAAATGGACATGTACAGTACCTGATATTTATCCGAACAAATTGATATTGAATTTTAACGAAATCAAGGCCTTGCGAATTGGAAAAGATTCGATTTTTGAAATGTCTACCAAGCCCTAATAACAATGATCATTTAATTCTAATGGTCAGAGAGAGAGAAAAATAGCCATGAAAACTAAATGACAAATGTTTTCAGTTCAAGAAACTTGATAAATGGACTTCAGGAAGGAAAACATCCAGAATATAAGATTTCTAACCAGAGCGAATGTCAGCGCTTCGGTGAACCCAGCGGCTGCGAGATCTTGCCTCAGTAACTCTGTCAACTTATTTAGAGGGAGCTGTGAATATAAAAACACACGCGTAAGAGCCATAACGTCAGCACTGAACCTGATCTCAAGTTTAATTGGTCAGAATGAATGTTACTCTCAAACCTGATTGGCTACGGTGTATGTGCGCGGCGTGCTCCTGACGATGTTGTTGAAGCCGTGCGCTATGGCGGCGTCCTCCATGATGTCACAGGCGTGGATGACATCAGCGCGCATGGGCGGGATCTCAACCTGGATCAGATCGCCCTCACCGCTGACCTCTGACCTCAAACACATCCGGGTCAGCAGCTGAGCGATGCTTTCTGCTGATTCACTGAGAAACAACACAGAGCGCGTGATCAGGGTTTGACCGGAGCCGAGAAAGAAATCTGTCATCTGTTATGAGCTCAAATGAAAGATTTATAATGTGCTCACTTGATGCCAACTCTTTTGTTGATGAAGTCCCCAGACAGTGTCTCTGTCCTGTACGCCAGCTCCTGAAGTCAAAGTCGACAGTCAGCAAATGACAAAACGACTTTCAAATAAGGCAGAATTTATTAATGATAATGTCATGACTAATGTTGCTTTAATATTTATTCACACAAGTTAAGCTCCATCAACAGAACTAAAAACGACAGATTTGTTTTTATTTAAAAATTAAATCAATTTTATTAATACTTTTATTTAGCAAGGATGCATTAAATTGACGTTATAATGTTATATTTCAGATAAATGCTTTTGTTATTTGAAAACAAGTTCATTTTTGGTTGAACTATCCCTTTAATTCCAGTGTGGTTAGTTAGTGTAATTACTATCAAGTTAAGAACTGAATACATACAGGATACACACACAATCTGCCATCAGGATAAACAACCTCTGCCTCCTCAACCCTGAATAAAGAGAAAAACATGTTAAAACAAACATTTCAGTACTGAACCATATACTCACTGGCTGAATCCAAACTGGAGATGCTATAAAGCAATACAGAGCATGTTACTTGATACTCACGTGAATGGTTCATCGCAGTATTCACTAAACATGGTCACTATCATATCCAGCGTGATCTTTGCCTGCAAACACACACAGAAACCGTTTCTCATGTTTAAAAGCATGCTGTAGTTCTTAGCTCATTTTCAGGATTATTTGATGAATAGAAAGCTCAAAAGAACAGCAGTCATTTGCAACATTAGAAATATCTTTACTGTCACTTTTGATCCATTTAATGCATCATTTCTGAATAAAAGTATTAATTTCTTAAAAAATAAAAAAAAATCGTACAGATGCCAAACGTTTGAACTGTAGTGTATATTGTATTATTACAAAATAAATAGTAATAAAAACATTATAACAGTAAAACGGTTTACCTTTGTGAGGTCCGTGGCCGTGCACTCAATGAAAATGTTCTTTGTGTTTAATGAGATTTTGCTGTGGTCCCCTGAGAGAGAGAGAAACACAAAACTTTAGACTAACAGTGCTTAAAAAAAAAAACAGCTCTACCTGCAAAAAATCTAAAATGTTAAACAGAAAAAATGGAGTATGTGTGCACATCTATCCATGCTCCTGTGAATGCATACTGTGTGTGTGTGTGTGTATTTAACTCACCGTTGATGATTGGAGGCATAGACAGGACGATTCCATTACTGTCGTATATGATGGGGTAGAGAGGTTCATTCTCGATGATATGCAGGTAGTGCCTCAGATGACTGTCAGTCTACAAGAAGACATTAAATATTCAAAACAAAAACCTTTTTTGTTTGTTTCAACTTGTTAAATGTTGCAGTCTGGGGGAAAAAACTCAACAAACATACAAGATTAGACATAAATATGTTGGCAAATAAGCTACTAATATACTAACCAATCAGATTTCCCTTCACAGTAGGAGACTTGACTGACTGTGGCCAATCAGAATCCATCTGGCCCAGCATTACTTGAGTATCATTGATGTACTATGATAGTTATTGGTAATATGTTGAATTTGTTTTTATTTTTACATTTTCTGATTTCATTTTAATTTAAAAGTTGAGTTGTTTTGTTTGTATTTT